TTTCCCCGCCCCCCCCCCCCCAAGATAGTATGCGATCGCCGAAGCAATATTTTCCGGAGACAATCGGACTCGTCATTGACGTCATTGATAGTCGGACGCATCATTGACCCGCACCCTTAAACAAAACATTGAGCGGATACTCTTCTTATTATAGATGCGCATCGCAGTGTGTCTTGCGCGCGCAATTGGCGATTTCAAAATATTGTACTGTTTGGTTGAGAATTGAGATGCCAAAATCTGAGCAGGACACATTGTGGCTTCATATCTTGGTGTACATGGTGATGACATCTGACACATTTATTTTATTAAGTTATATTCGCCATTCCCAATTGCTTTTGTTTGCTTTTGTAACTCTTTTGGAACGATTTCAGAAACCCGTCCATTATTTTAAGCTATGCCTTTCAAACATTATGGATAGAGTAGAATAAAACTTTATTTATCTATGCTTCCCTCATCATCCAAGATGTTTTTCATTAGGGGCATCACACAATTTAATTATATGCATAAATATTACTCTAATATAAAAATTAAATATCAAGAAATTAAATATGAAGGATAATCGATGTCTAACTCAGTTGTTTTTTAATTATGTTAACTTTGCCTCCGTAGGTATATAGGCTGTTCCATAGCACGTACAGCACCACTGTACCCAAAACTTTTTTTAAATATTCAGTGTTTGGCCTATAGGAACTGGAAGATTAATATTAGCATTTCTAAGATTGTAATTATTAAGATTTGTATCCCTTCTAATAAATTTATCTTTTAGATTTGGAGCAGAGTGGTTGTTTAATATTTTATAAATCCGGACAGATTTGTTCATTTTTTGTTTGTCGTTCAGATTCTTTCCCGACATAGCATGGAGTAAATCCGACGATCTATAACGTCGTAATTGGCACCTGTCATTTCTCTTGCCGCTCTATCCACAACTGTCCCATAAAGATGAACAGTAATCAAAGTATGGTAGGACGAGTCAGAGGAATAATTAAATACAAATTTTGTAAAGTTTTATTCGGTACAACGATGTATTAATACCTCTATATATTTATACTCAATAGATTAATAATAAATAGATTGATAGGTTAAAATCCTATGGTGGTAAAGGTAGCTACGAGGCATGCATACAGTGAAATAGATTAAATTGTCATACTGTTAATTAATGGTAGCTCTATATTTTAGTGGATACGCAGATACGTGGATACGCTTTCAAGTACAATAGTTATTTTGAGAACGAGGTATGCAGTTAGATTAGCATTCTCACATTATAGATAGCTCCATGTTTAATGGATACGTGGATACGCAGTCATTCAACTAGTTATTGTGGCTTTGTGCTTTAAATAACTTCTGTCAATTGTTTATGGAGACGAGACCATATTTTCACATGCTGACGTCCGATTCTCGTCCTGGGATTCGAGGTTGTAGTCCAGCAGATATGCACAGATATTTGAGAAAATCATGCATGCACTTTGTGAAGAAATTAAAGCACCAAATTCACAGGAAGTGTAGACTTTAACATGATAATGAATCTTAGAGATGGAGGCATCAGCCAAAATTGATGCTGATGGCTAAAAATTTAGGATTTCTTATATTCTCTTATTAATCTCTTATACAATTAAAAATTGTGAAATTACAGGTTCACATATAGCAAAAATGACATGTGTCATTAGAAAGCTTACAAAAAACTGCATATAAGACGTTTAAGCAGTTACTTTGATTTTGTCACGAAGCACTACTGGACTAAAATAATACCAAAACTCTTTAATTATTTCTTTAATTACAATACTCAACAACGATTAATCTCCACAAAATACATCTCACGATTTCACCTTAACTCTACAATATCTCATTTCCATGCGGTTCTCTCTCCTCTAAAAACACTTACACTAAAAGGCACTAAAACACATACACTAAAAGGCGCTTCTTTACACTCCCCCCACCTAAAATCAACTTGATTACTGACTATATCAGTTCACTGGTTAACTCAACACGAAAGTCGGTATAAAATAGTTCAAATCGACAAAGTTCATGCAACACTTCCATTACTATAATAGTGTTTAACTTATCTGTTCACAGTGTTCAATAATCCAACACAGGTACTCCATAACGATCGGGTTGTCTTAAATTATAACGTAAATTTAATGGTAATCTGCTTGATCATCGATTCCACCTGGTGCTAAACGTACTCCACCACGCTCATTAATAAGTTCAATCGTAGACTCATCCGAATCAGATCTAGAACTTAGCATGTCTTCCGATTCCTCACCCAATGGATTAGCAACCGTTTCTACGACAAACCGTCTTAGATTATTCGCATGTACAACTTTACGTTTTCTGCTTTCCAATGACTCTATCTCGCAATCGTTCTCTCGAATGTTAACAATGATGTAAGGACCCGTATACTTTTCATCTAAACCTCGCGCTCGAAAATTCTTTATTAGAACAGTGTCCCCCATGTAAAACCGCTTGTTTTGTTGTGCTCGATACCGTAAATCATAACTACATTTCTGCTTCTCTTGCGCTTTCTCGATCCTTTTAGTAACCAATTTCCGGAGAATATCTTGTCTCTTCTTTAACTCTTCAACGTATTTGGCTGGACCATGTGTTGGGCTAGACACCAGTTCTTCTTGATCCGTTCCAAATGGCAATCTCACTTCTCTACCATATAACATTTCGAATGGTGTCGCACCCGTAGAGGATTGCGTACAAACCCGATCAGCCAGTAACGCATGTGGCAGCTGCTCGTCCCAATCATTTTTCTCTTTGTTTACTCTCATTCTCAACAAGGATTTCAAAATAGCATTAAACCGCCCGCACAACCCGTCTGTTTGGGGATGGTAGGCTGTAGTCCGTCTCTTTTCAATTCCAAACATTTCACATAGACTTGCAATCACTTTGGACTCAAAATTACTGCCTTGATCTGTTAGGGACCGGTCATTATTTATGGAAGGGGGGAGGGGAATTTTTTCTTTTCTAAATTTTTAAAATTGAAAGCCCCCCTAAAAGAGCAGAAATTTAATGATGACCCCCCTGCATATTAGAATATTTTTCTTTGACCCCCCCCTCCCATTTTCATTTTTACTCGCCAAATGGAGATACCCAGGCATTATAGTGTTAATTATTAAATAAGAATATGGAACTAGCAAGATATTAATGTCAACCAAAAATATATATTAGCAGAAAATTATAATTAAAAGGGGAGTATTTTTTATATATAACACTAAAATCAGGTTTCCATTCGGTCTGGGCGATTGTAACCATGTTTAAGGCTGCAACTAGACTTGATGGTACGGAGTATTGCCATAGCAGCAATGAGAGCAACAATCAGTAATATTAGCAGCAAAAGGAGATAGCAATGACAATTCTGTCAAGGCATACCTGCGAAATACAATGTATAGTGGTCTATACATCCCATTTTATGTGAGATTAAAAATTATATAAAATAAAGTGACATATACTAGCTACCAGATAAAATACTTTAGAATGAACATGGGTGAGTGGGTGGGGAAAAGGTATCGAAGCACAAAACTTGCTGCAGCTAGGCAAAGCATACAATGGCAGAATGAATACCCAGACCGAAGCACTGATCACAAGGCATAAAACAACCCTCTTTGATCGATATGACGTCACAGACTCCCCTCAGCGGATGTGGCCTGCATAATACATCCGCCGTTAACCTTGCTTAATTTAAATGTATTTAACCACATCAAGAGCTGATGTAATAATACATTGTCAATTTAACTAGTCTGCAATCCGTAAAGACTGATTTGCATACAGCACACACAAGACAAGATGAATCCAGACTATTTCACATCAGTGACTATGATTTAGTTGCAACATTTACAACCAAATGGATACCAGGTTATTAAGCAAATTCCTTCAAGTTTAATTGCAACCCCCCCCTGTCATTTTCTTGAAAAAATTTAATAGCCCCCCTTCTAGTCATTTCTACATATGGCCCCCCCCTTATTTTTTCCCTCCCCCCCTTATTTTTTCCCTCCCCCCTTCCATAAATAATGACCGGTCCCTTAGTAGGACTGGGGGCATTCCATGCCTAGGAAAGATGTCTTCCAGGGCTCTCGCAACTGTAACTGCTTCTTGATTTGGCAATGCTACTGCCTCTGCGTACTTTGTGTAGTAATCAACGACGGACAAAATGTATTTGTTTCCTCTACTAGTTGTTTTTAATGGACCAATAATGTCTACACCAATCATATAAAATGGTATGGGTACCACTTCGATTGGCTTCATCGGACTCCGCGGCCTAGGTACTGCTTTATTTTTGGAACAAACTTCACAATTTCTACAGGCCAATAAAACTTCCAGGCCAATAATCAATAATCAACCAGGCCAATAATCATCCAGGCCAATAAAACCTCCGTTGAATCATCTCAAACGTTTTTGCAACACCTAAATGTCCAACTTGACAGTGGGCTTTTTCCAGTATGTTAGGAGTTAGATAGGTAGGTACCACAATTTGCTCTCGTTCCTTTGCTGTCTTATCAGTTCACTTTCGACATAAGACATGATTTTTGACAACCAATGAATCAAAATTCTTGTATGATGTATCTAGAGTTACACTCACATCAACCGGTTTTTTATCTGGTCTAGAACCACTTTGCACCCATTCTTTTACCAACTGAATGTCCTCGTCGAACGTTTATAGACCAATATAACAACTATAGACCAATAACAGTTCTGAGTGCAGTTGGGAAAGTGTTTGAACAATTAATAGGTAAACATTTAACTTCCCATATGGGGCCGAAACTGGAAAACAATCTAACTGCTTATCGTAAGAAAAACAGTTGCGAGACTTCTTTAATAAAACTAGTGGAGGATTGGAAAATATCATTGGATAATAAGACCGTTGTTGGGGTACTAACAACTGATCTCTCTAAAGCTTTTGATTCACTTCATCCGCCTTTATTACTAGCAAAATTGAAAGCCTATGACTTGTCGGAAGAGGCTCTAGTTATGTTGAGAAGTTATTTTACTGAACGAAAGAATAGAGTGCGTATGCGATCAGGATGTAGAAGCCAATGGAGGGATAGTAAAAGGGGTTGTCCGCAGGGCTCACGTCTAGGCCCACTACTTTGGAACATTTTCCAAAACGATTTCGTTTATAACGTACGTAATAGTAACTTAGCAATGTATGCAGATGATCACCAAGTATATGCTTGTGGTGAAAGGACGGAGGATGTGGAAAGAATTTTGAACAGCGAGGCGATTTATATGTCTGAATGGTACCAAGACAACCTGCTCAAGTGTAACTACGACAAATTCCAAGTCATGAGTTTAGGACCGAGAAATAAGAAGAAAGAAATAAACATTGAAATGATAGACGCTAATATAGCTACGTTCAACTTCAATCATAAACCTATTAGGGATTGCTATAGACGATGTATTAAAGTTTGTGAAACACATTAGAGATATATGTAGTAAGGGAGGGAAAAAGGTGGGGGTACTTATGAGGTTCAGAAACTTGATACCGACTGAAGCCAAATTAAGAATCTTTAAAGCTTTTATACTACCCCAAATAACCTACTGTCACATAGTATGGCATCAAGAGCGAGCACTTAGAGCCATATATTGTGATAGGAGTAGCTCGTATGAAGATCTCTTAAGGAAAGGCAAACTTCCTACATTGTATGATCGTAGACTCCAGGATATAGCCATAGTTATGTATAAAGTGAACAATAATCTAGCACCCTCTGATGTATGTAATCTTTTCAAACACAACACCGCAGCAATTACAATCTTAGGAATGTAAGTGATTTCTCCATACCTAGATTTAACACGGTTACGTATGGGAAACACAGCTTGAGGTATATGGGCCCGTTCATTTGGTCAAAGATCCATAAGTCCATAAAAAACGGCTATATCCTTAGATACGTTTAAAAGACACATACGGCAAATGGATATAGCCGACTTAATTTCCAATAGTTGTACTAATTGCTATTTATGCAACAATTAATCGACACTAATTATAGATATTTGTTATAATATATTTATTCTGTTTATATAGTTAATAGTAGTTAATATAGGTAGGTGTCCCCAATTAGTTCCTTTGTAAACTAGAATTTATTTGACACAATAATAAAGTTTTTGATTGATTGATTGATTGATTGCATGTCTTCAAACTCTTGCCAGGTTGACATCGAAACCAAGATAGTGTTCACAGGTGCACGAGACAAGGCATCCGCATGCTGCATTTTCGTGTTAGGTAGGTGTTCTATCGTAAAGTCACGATCATTTTCTTCCAATTTTAAGATCCAACGAGCTAATTTACCATTTGGATGTTTGATGTCTCGAAGCCATTTCAAAGCCTTATGATCAGTATATATGGTGACCTTTCTCCCATATACATATGGGTGAAAGTATTGTAAAGCCCAGACCACTGCAAATGCTTCCTTTTCTGTTGTCCAGTTCTTTTCAGCACCCGAAAATGCCTTAGATGCAATTCCTCATTTTCATCCTTTTGGGTCAGCACTGCGCCTATGCCCACATCACTCGCATCCGTATACAATATATAGTCTCCATTTAAGTTAGGAAATAAATGCCAAAACAGGGGCAGATATAAGTTGTTCTTTCAGTTGTTCGAACGCTCGTTGACAGTTCTTGTCCCAATCAAAGCGAACACCTTTTTGCGTCAGACGATGAAGAGGACCTGCAATGTCACTGAAACCAGAAATAAAACGCCTGTAGTAAGAGGCCATACCCAGGAAACGTCGCAACTCAGTGAGATTCTGTGGGGTAGGAAAAGCACGGATTGCTTCAACTTTGGTTACATTTGGGGCCAGACCAGCAGCAGAAACGGTAAAACCCAAGAAATCCACACTTGGCTTCGCAAAACTACACTTGGCAAAACTCCAAATGTTGGTCAAACGTGCGACCCACGACCAAAACATCATCTAAGTAAACCAGACACTTGAGTGGCAAAAGACCATTCAACACAGCAAGCATAAGTCGCTGGAACGTGGGCACAGCATTCGTTAGGCCAAAGGGCATACGCAGGAATTCAAAGTGACCACCCCCTGGAATCACGAAAGCTGTTTTCTCCTGACTAGATTCGTCAACTGGAACCTGCCAATATCCCAAGGCTAGGTCGAGTGTCGAAAAATACTGATGACCAGCTAAGTTATCCGTCAAATCAGCAACCTGGGGAAGTGGGAAAGCATCTTTCACTGTGACATCATTTAGTTTCCTGAAATCAATACAAAAACGGCATGTCCCATCTTTCTTTCGAACTAAGACTATAGGACTTGACCATGGTGAATTACTCAGCTTAATTATGTTGTTTTCCAACATTTCTTCTACTTGGTCTTCAACAACGGTTCTCAGAGAATTGGGCAGTCTTCGAGGCAGCTGTTTAACAGGTACGGCATCGCCTGTCTCAATCTTATGCTCTGCTAGTGTGGTTACGCCAAGTTCACTAGAATTTTCCGCGAAAACATCTTGGTGTTTATTCAACAAATTTTCCATTCTCTCTCGCTCCTCACCCGACAGATGCTCTAACTCAAATTTGATCTTATCCTCAGCAGATGGTGTATCACACTTTGAATTAATAAATGTTGGGTCTCTTAACTCATCATCAACTTGCTGAAGTTCCCCTACAGTCATGCCCTTGTACAACTTAATAGGTGATGTCCCTGGATTAATAATCTGGATGGGTACCCTCTGTTCTTTTGGTTGTACAATAACTCTTGCTACAAGAACACCTTTCCCGGAGAAGTTCATATTAGGCTCTAAGATGCTTTCATTTAAAGTGGGATTTCGGACCCTGGCAGTTTTGAAAACTTCATGTTTCGCCGGAACAACCAAATCCTCATCTAGAACAACGCCCAGGAGATCTACTATGTTTGAATCAAATAAACACAAGGGTTTTGTGGTACCATCTGGGAATTTCAAAACAATTTCAGCCATATCGACATTTACTTTGTTAGTTACTAACCAATCTAAACCACTGAGCTATACTATATTACTGGAGGACCTGCTCGGGAAAAAAAAGTGAAGCCAAAAACATGGCGGATCTGACGCCATTGCCATGACTACTGGTCCCTAAATTCATGGCAACTACCACTGTCCCAACCGCGATCCTAAGTTTTCGACAATGTACTTCACCCCCCTGGTTTCAGCACAGATATTTTATGATTTCGCTTGTTTTTGAGGTAAAAATCGCACTGAAAATCTTGATATTTTTCTCCTATAACTTGGTTGATTTACAATGTCGAGGATCCTGCCTTTTTGCGCCGCTCGTAGATGTATGAGATGTACAAGAAGAATCTTTTTATTCACCGGTAAGATTTTTATATATTGTAGAAAATTTGAAGCAGAAGTACAAACTACAAAGTTTATAATACTACGAACATAAAAGTATATGAACAGCAAATTATTAGCAGACATAACAACCTGTAAATGGTTGGCAATTCTGTACATTTTATTGTTCTTTTGATTTGGTACTACTACTGCTATAGCGATATTTGCGTAGGGTTTCATGGCTGGTTAATATGATTTCAAAGTCCTTGCTGTAGTGTCTGCACACTTGTATTTATTTAGTATTTTAGTATATTAAATTTTCCTTGACAAACTTTGAGTGATATCCTTGCCAGGTTCTTGCCAGCAGTTGTTTATAATTACTGTGTAGTTATATGAAATCTCACTTACATGACATGTAGACAAGTGAACAAATACTTTGCTAACTAGGCGGCTAGGCCAAAGACATCAGGTTCAAACCATTCAATACCCATTGCAATCAAGCAATTACCATAAACATATAAGCCCCCCCCTCAATATAAGCCCCCCTGTGTATAATCCCATCATATTTACTCAGGCTATTCCGAATATAAGCCCCTCCCCCCTCTAATGTAAGCCAGGCCTGTGTGTACAAGCCCATGGGCTTATATTATTTGACAGGGGCCGGTTGTATCAAGCCCGTTTAGCTTAATTTCTCATGAATCAGTCAACTTAAATATTCTGCACTGAATATGTAGTTGTAAACATCATTCTATTAAGGTTCAAAACTTCTAGTTTGGTTGTTGAATGAATCTATAGAGTCTGAGTTGCTTTCTATTTTGAGCTTAACCAACGTTTAAGCTAAACAGGCTTGTTACAATTGGCTCCAGGTATATTTATTAATGCAGCTTTAGCCATACATATTAGAATACAAGCCCAGGGCTAGCTGGCTTACATTCAGAGGCCGGTTTACAATATCTCTCCCAACATATAGTTTGTCAGAGTTCTATAAATCCCACAGTCATTAGAGGTAATATAGGAATGAAAGGTGCACAATATGTGTGCCAGTCACCTTGGCATTGACCGGCCAACCTTATGCTCTGACAATTAACCTAAATTGATTGATGATATGTTTGAGAGCAGTTTCAGGTTTCAGTGGTGGTGTCCCCAGTATTGGAGTAGAGCTCAAATTTCAGTTAGATATATTATTTGTGATTGTTGTGCCCTTACGAAAAAAGTCTATAGGTGGCCTATATGTGCCTATAGGAAATGTTCCAATTCCCTATAGAAGCCTTTAGGCATCTATAGAGCTCTATAGGCTTATAGGCATCCCTATAGGTCACCTATAGAAAATGTTCCAATTGCCTATAAAAACCTATAGGTTTCCTATAGGAACCTATAGACCTGTTGGCCTATAGGCCAGGCCTATAGACTTTTTTTGTAAGGGTGAATCTTCTCACTTAGATCATTTGTGATATATTGTAATTAAATGTAAAATGAAACTTTGGGAAGTTAAGAAATACAATTAATTGACAAGACTGTCCCCTTGACAAGTAGAATTGTCAGGCATTAGACTGCCTGAGTAAAATAATAAGCTTGGGTGCAATTAACTGCTGTATGCTTTAAAGTTGGTTGCATGCTTTAAAGTTGGTTGCAAGCTAGCTGGGCTTATAAATGCCAGAACTCATATGTGAAAAATGCTTGGATCAATTTATTTCATCTGTAATGAACCCATTTTTAATCCTTTAAGTGGCAATGCGCCCCACTACAATATTTTACTCTGTCCAATGCCAGACAATTTTACTCGTCAAGTTGAGAGTGCTGCCCCTCAATGGGTTCAGTTGCATTGCACCCTACTGTATATGTTTGTGTTACTTTGTCTAACGCCAACAATTTTACTTGTCAACAAGAGAGCACAGTGGTACGTGCTGAATGGGTTAACATATAAATAATGTCTACTCTACAGTAAATTTCCCTGTAATTGGACTTTGGAGCCTGGTATATGTGACTCACTATTTCTTCAAAGTGTGTTCTAATGATACTAGCTGTCACTATTTTATAAATATAATTGACATTTCTCATTTAGGGTGATCCGGGATGTAAGTCATGTGGACAAGTTCTTTGGAATGTTCAAATAACAAGAATAGTGGTGTTATAGTAGTGGTGGCACTTGCCAGACCTACCGTAACTGGAAAAACTAACAATGACTTTTCTCCAAAGTCTTATATCAGGCTTTTTTTCAGGGATTTTTTAGGGCCGTTAAACGGCCCCAAAAACTCAATCTTGAATTGAGTTTTGAAACTCAATCTTCTCACCAAAGTTTCAGTGCAGTGAAAATGAAGTTGTTTGAGTTAAATTTGTGACGTGTGGAAATTAGTTTTCAGTTGGAAACCCGACAATTAAGAAAAAATGGCTGGAATTCATCTCACAACACAAGAAAAACTATGCATTCGCCATCGTTAACCAGTTTATAGTGTCCCTCAATGCCCCTGCTTTAACACATTCCGTCTCAACTACATTTGTTGAGTACAAGTGTCAGCCCCCCGGTAGGGGGGGGGGGGGTGCAACCACCACAGCTGTTCAGCTAAACTCAATCTTCTCTGCAAAAACGGACCCAAGAGAAAATCCTGAAAAAAACCCTGTTATTTGTACTACAAGAAATGGCCCAAGGCATCAAAACAGGGGACAGCCAAAGAATCACCCATGGAGCTACAGTTATAATAATACTCTATCACATATTGTAACTTGATTGTACAGTTATAATTATTAATTTGATAATTATTCTTTGACCAAGTTTAATTAAAATAATACAAAATTAATCATGATTTTGAACAAACATGTTGCAGCTTGGTACTGAGTTTCATTAACAAACAACAGTGGCATGGACTCATGCATGCATTGTTGGAAAATTCTGCATTTCTATTGTTTTGACACTATTTTCATGACCAATTTTGTTGTTTTGACTTCATTTTGACCAAGTCAGTCAGGTTAGTAACTATCTTGTCTAACATTTAGAGATCTTGTCTTGTTCAAGTGAGATCTCAAACTGGAGCCAGGTTATCCATGCAAATTGAAAGGAATTTCCACTATAAAAATATTAAAATAACCACACCGTGAAGTCTTGCTTACTGCAATATGGCAAAACTAGAGACTCACAATTAACTTAATATTTGAGGGATGGGGCAAACAAGCTAATAGCCTTTTAAAGACACATACAACAAACTATCATACAAATGATACAATACAATACAATCAGAGAGCACATATTAAAACTACAATGTAAAATTCTGGATATAAAACATGCCTTCTCACTTCAGCTGGCCCTACTAGGCAGCTGAGCTTTTTCCTGCACCAGTTCACCACAAGCTCATGCATAACAAAACCCTTGGCTAAATATATAAAACCTTAATTTCCTCTTTAATACACCAGAACATCATCTCGAACATCATAGTTTCATCATACATGTACTGTTGTGCAACTCGATATTGCGAGGGATGAAACATTGCATAAAGTTAATACAGTAAATACAAAAAGGTTTATCTACAACCACATTATAAACACTTTCTAAAAAATAGAGTACATTTTACCATTATTTTCTAAAAAATAGAGTACATTTTACCATTTATTCCTAACATTTTTTCATGAAATACTAAAATAAAAATGTGAATTTTAAAATGTTTACCTGTTTATAGTTGACTGCATGTTTATAGACTGCTGTTTATAGCCCGGCTTGAAATATCGTTTTTGTCCACATTTTGGGAGGTTTTAATAGTTGTTTGTTGTCTTTCACGGACGAGAATAACGTGCACGACTTTCACATCCTTGAACAAATGGTCAAACGTCGAAAAAATATGTCGAAAATAACAAAACAACAAGAATTCACTGCAAAAATCCGAAATATTTTTTTCAGAAACCAGGGGGGGGGTGAAAACTGTGGCGGGCTCACAATTGAGCCTTGTTCAGTGGCAATTACCATGAATTTAGGGACCAGTAGTCATGGAAATGGCGTCATTTTCACTCAAAATCCGCCATGTTTTTGGCTTCACTTGGTTGACTGAACGAAGTATAGGAGCAGGTCCTCCAGTTATCATACAGCTCAGTGATCTAAACCCAGAATAATTTCAGACACCATTTCATTAGCCACATAAAAGTCATGAGATGACTTGTTGTTTTCATCAAATTGCACATTCAAGGTGGTTTTGCCCAAAATCCCAATGGGAGAATTGTTAGCGGCTTCTGCAACAATATCGGATGGAAATAATGGGGTATCATCCAGTTTAAGAGGTTGCCCCTGGTTTTACTGACTAATGAAATGGATGCGCCAGTGTCAACTATACAAAGTTTGTTTTTCCCATTAATAGTAGTCTCGACCATAAGGGTTTTCTTCTTACTCGCTGAAGAAACGGTAGACAGTCTGATTTTTTAATAATTTTTCTTGGGGCTTTCACCATCTCTACTAGAACCCAGACCTCCCTCCAACTTGGCATTACAGAACTTTGCAATATGGCCACTATTCCCACAACGATAGCAAATGGTCACGTGTCTATCCATTTGCCAATTCTTATCATAACCTTGGAGCTTAGTATTAACTGGTTGTTGATTAGCCAAGGGGTAGGATTTTGCCAAATGTCCTGGTTTTTGACATGAATAACATAACTTAGTTTGTCGCCGTGCAGTATTATTTTGCCTGAAGTTGTTCATAGTAGGGCACTGTCTGGACACATGACCAAATCCATTACACGAATAACATGTTTTGGCAGCATTCAAAGAACTAACTGAGCCAATTGTTGTTCTACTTAATTTTTCTGTTGCTTCTCTGGCTAATGTTTTCATTGTGGCATTTGCTGCCTCAAATCTTCGAGCAATTAACAAGGCATCATCTAAACTGTTTGGTGGCTCTTGTAACAACTTGTTTTGGGTTGCCTTATTACTCAACCCCAAAATAAATTGATCAACGAACCTGCTAGAATATTCGTCACCATGGAAACCACATCTAGCTCCAGCTAGCTTCTCGCAAAGAAACAGCATACGAATCAACAGACTCACCAGACTCCTGTTCTCGACGATGAAAATTGTAACGTTTCTCCGTAGCAGTCTGATTCCTTTCAAATAACGACTTCAACTTTCCAATCCAATCTTTGTACGCGTTTTCCCCTTCGCCAAACTCAACCGGTTCTGCCAAACGAAACGCATCTTCGATCAAATTAAACAACAGCGCAAGTCGTCGCTTTTTAACATCTTCAAGTTCCACTGCTTCGAAGTACAGATTACATTTCTTGATGAACAAATCAAAGTCTTCGCCAATTTTAAACTTGTCGGGCCTTCGAAACAATGACAAAGATACTTATTCGTCTCAACATTCGGTGCTTCTGCTTGCTCAGGCTCGACCGCCATGTTTGCACGATACAAAACACACTCGAAAACAAGTCAAGATGTCACATCATTTCCGCAAGTTTGGTCTCGGTGGGACCTCCAAAATTGTCACGAAGCACTACTGGACTAAGATAATACCAAAACTCTTTAATTATTTCTTTAATTACAATACTCAACAACGATTAATCTCCACCAAATACATCTCACGATTTCACCTTAAGTCTACAATATCTCACTTCCATGCGGTTCTCTCTCCTCTAAAAACACATACACTAAAAGGCACTAAAACACATACACTAAAAGGCACTTCGATGTAATTAACGATGTAATTAATGTTCGTCACATCTGACATTGGTGTTGGCAGATTATGCTTAATTAGCGTCGCTGGGAAAAAATATTTTATATTATACACTAAGCATGGTATCAAACATTAAAAGTCAAATCAAATCACTTTATTCACACTATTTAATATATATATATACATTATTGACTATAAGTAATTCATTTTTTTGAGTATATAGAAGAAAAATATAACATGAACGAGAATATTTCAAACGTGCACGACGGTTAAAAGAGCTGCATAAGTTTTCGAGTTAACCATCGTCTTCGTCTACGTATAAATAAATAGCTAAGCGGTTGAGCTAATTATTGAATTAGACAATTCTGGTGGTAAGCATTACATAATTTGTTTATTCATTTATTTTATAAATTATTTAAAAAGGAATAAAAGCAAAAAGAAGGGAGATATTTGTAAAATGACTTTTTGTAAATTAGGAGAATAATTTAAACAATGAATGACACCATCATTGATTAATCATTAATATTTCCTTTATCAGTTTGTAATATTGTCTTAATAATTAGTTTGTGTATGTTAGAACGAGGCAATAAGATCTGCATACTACAGTATTATATACGTATCCAGTAAAATAGTGGTCGCGGACTGCATGATATGATACTACTAGTGGACGGGTATTCTGAAATATAATTCCTTCTCTTCATTGGCCATGGGATGATATATAGTTTTAACTCGCAATAACAGTTCTTAAGTATTTTCGGAACCATAGAAACAACTTTGTAGATCGATTTGTTATGACATCGCGAAGCAAATCGTCTTTCCACATCTTTCTTTATGTGGTCGAAGAAGAACAATGTGGATGTGGAGTGATAGATAAATGGTGTACCAGTGGATTACTCATGCAGGGTACGAAGGGATCGATCGATAACGCGCGAAAGCCTGGACGCGGATCAATGATGCGTCCGAATATCAATGAAGAGTCCGACTGTCTAACAAAAGCTGCCAAAGGACCCATTTTCCTTGCCCTCCTCAGGATAGTATGCGATCGCCGAAGGCGTGAGCCGAGTGTCGCAGGCGCAAGTTAGCTAGGGGATCTGGGGGCATGCTCCCTCAAGAAATTTTCAAAAATTCAGGCCTTTGGAGTAGAATTTCCTGCATTCTCAGCTTCTCAAATTAAACCAAATTTTTAATGGTGATATTTGTAATATATTGCATGCTAAACATTCAAAAACAACATAAGTTTAAGTACGCTCACCAACAAATTTTGTTTTTTATTTTTATTTTCAATCATTATGTTAAACTCATTTTACTCAATACAGGTCCTAGGGCCCTGGCTTTGGGGCAATAGGACAGTTTTTTTCTTCAGTGGTGGGGCAGAGGAGGGGCCCAGTGGGGCAAATTCTCCACCAGTCCATGGTATTAAAAGATGCCTTGGCTCTCCGTTGATATCATGAAATGTTTGATAAATATAGATTGTTTGGGTACATATAATGTAGAATAAACAAAAAAATTCGTAAAAGATAAATTTTCCAGAGCAGGGGGTGTCCTTTTAGCGGCATTAAAAGTAGGTTACGCGCGAAATTTAAAAGGTTAAAACCGTCACATAATGGGTTCGTGGGAAGAACGTTTTCATGTGTTTTATTGTAAAAAAAAGTAAAAGAACAATATGCAAATTAGGTAAATGCATGAATTAAGCATGCGTGAAAGGCATTAATTGGTGCCAAAAAATGAAAGTTTCGATCAGCAGCTATTTGAAGACTTAAAATTGAGCAAATTTTCTGACTGTTAAACGAAGAATTGTAAGTCAATTACACTGTTCCCCTGAATAATTATAAATCAATTACACTGTTCCCCTGAAGAATTATATGTCAATTACACTGTGTTTCTCTGAAGATTCAAAGTTAATTACATTGTTGCCCTGAAGAATTACACTTTGTTCTCCTGAGGAATTATAAGTTAATTACACTTTGTTCTCTGAATATTTATAACTTATTAATTACACTGTTCCCTTGAAGAATTGTATGTCAATTACACTGTCCAACTGAATAATAAGTCAATTATACTGTTTCCCTGAAGAATTATAAGTAAATTACACTGTGTTCCTTTGAAAAATTATAACTCAATTACACTGTTCCTCTGAAGAATTATTAGTCAATTACACTGTTCCCCTGAAGAATTACAAGTTAATTACACTTTGTTCTCCTGAAGAATAAGTTAATTATACACTTTGTTCCTCTGAATAATTATAACTTAATTACACTATTCCCTTGGGGCCGGTTGTTCAAAGCTGGGTTAGCTTAACCCTAGGTTAACGTAAAATTCAAAGGAAACTTCCTGACAACTTGTCTATAAATTTGGAAATATTCTTCAGAGATCTTGTGTGGATCGATAGGAGTTTACTTCTCTGAAGTTGTGAAATAAACAGACGTGCAGAAAGATACAAGCTAAAACAGCAGGTTAAATTTTTACCCAAGGTTAGCGCTAACCCACCTTTCAGCAACTGGCCCCAGGCTCATAATTTTTACGCGTGTAGCTTGAACAGTGTATACAGCTATTTCAATTAAGGTTGTCCTACCCTGGTTCCAGAGGTTTAAAATAAACCTCTGGTTGAAAGCGGCAATTGATTCATCGAGCCGCGCCAATCAGTTTGAATTAGGGTCAGATCCTGACTCTGTCTCCTGATTGGATGATTGTATTAAAGCTCTGTGATTGGTTGTAGATGTTTTATTTGAATCAATCAGAGAGCTTTAATACAATCATCCAATCAGGAGACAGAGTCAGGATCTGACCCTAATTCAAACTGATTGGCGCGGCTCGATGAATCAATTGCCGCTTTCAACCAGAGGTTTATTTTTCCTCTCCCCTTCGCAATGAAAATAATAAAAATAAACCTCTGGAACCAGGGTAAA